TACTAATAAATGAAGAACCTTTGTCTCACATAAGTCTTCTGATGGATTAAGTGCCAAAATTCCTTTTACTTGATTATTCAAACATATTGATAAGTTTCGTGAAGAAACTATTTTATATGTGAGTAATCAAAGTTTTTGTACTCAATTTTCATTTTTTTTAGAACAAAAACGCCAATAAGAATAACAATTTTCTACTTTTCTTCCTTTCCTACAACCATCGTACAAAAAATTTCAAAACATCTTTTTAAAGTATATTTCAAATAGTTATATAATATTTATTGTCTCTTGTTTTATAGATAACAATAGTAATTTTCAGACTGATGATAGGTTTGGTGTAGAGGTGGTTTACATTGTTCTATGAAACAAAAAATATATAATTTATGTTTAAGAAATATAATGTTTACAAAATTTTATTTTATAATTCATACATATTTGATACAACAATGTTTATTTATATGTGTGATAGTTTAAAAAGTTTATACTTATTGATATAGGGAACACGTGCAATAACTTAAGCAAAAAGAATGAAGTAGAACTACTTAATTATAAGGTCCAAATCAAGCACCATAAAAGAAATTCTGGTCTTAAACTATACATGATTAAATAACTAAATAATTAAACGACATAAAATCAAGAATCAAGAAGCCAGTATGTACAAAAATCACAAGCTCAAAGTCGCTGGTTATGCATCTCTTTTCGTTTTCTCACTATTTGATAAGAGCCCAACATTACAATTTTATTTGAAAAAAATACATATAAATATAACATTAGTATTTATTGTCCTGAAAAGACTCACTTTATGAGGTCAAATTTTGGGGCGATTATCTGTATGATAAATGAGTAACCGCGTCATAATATTAAACCCTTACAATGGACAATCAAAGTGATATGAAATCCTCAACACATCCCCTCAACCCAAAAAAGCTCATTTGAAAAGAATATTGATTCTAATTTCGAAGATAAAAAATACCAAGAATAAATGGAATAGTACTAAAAATGCATCAATCATCACCGTGTTTGTCAGGAATCTAATTCCATAAAAAAAAAATCAAAATTTAATGAAATACATAATAATCGCATGATTAAAGATAATAAAATATACAAATATATAAGCATACATGCAATAAGAATATGAATAACAACTTACTGTTTTAGTTGAAAACACCATAGGCTTTTACAATAGATATACTAAAGCGAGATTCCTTAGAATCGAATTCTAAACCGGCGTGGTGCTGCTGGATGCTTCTGATCAATAGAACAAGAAGAGGACCAAAAAGATAGACCACTAAAAGTAACGACCACCAAGATAGGCATAGTAATTCGATCTTTTGATCACCCATTTTTTGAAAACTATTTTTGGGGGCTTCCGCCTTACACACGGAAGGTTGGATTGCCTGAATCACGAGTCACAGATTTGTTAGCTTTAGAAGATAAGAAATTCATGTAGTACTCTGGAAAAAATATTCGAAGCTCTACAAGATAAAATCCCAAAGTCATATTGAATGTTGGATATTTTGTCCTTAGTTTGAATCAGTAACGGTATCTTTTTTACTTAAACTTTTTGTGTAGAACATACTGAAATTGTCTAAAGGCTTCTTAGTATGCATATTAAAACTGTCTAAAAGCTTCATAGTTTGTTGCACTTATTTGTATTAGAAGTATGAAAATATAATAAAGGTGTTAGTCCAAAGCAATATATCGGAAGAATTAATAATATTTGTATATTATAGAATAAAAATAATACTCTTGGCTCAAAAAATAATAAAGAAAAATCTAAATAGACTGTGTTTTTTCCCCTTACCTGTTTCCCATTTCCGCTTAATAGATTGTACTGTCCAAATATTTAAGACTTCCAACGCATTTCGTTTAAATAAGGAACATTTTTAATAATAAAATATATAGTAGCTTTCAAAATTGCTTTCAAGATCCAAATATTAAAAAATAATCATATGACAGTTTTGTCCAATATAAAATCAATTTTTAAGGGTAAAAAAGGCGAACAACATTTCACTAAAGACATTCGCGCTTTTAATATAACTAGTCTTAGGGTACGCGCTTTGCACGTGTACTCTATAATCATAAATATATAACTGTTAAATATTTGTATATCCATATTAACCAATGTATATGAGTTATTAAAAAAATTATAGAAAATAATATAAGGTCCTAAAAATGACGAATGTTAATCCTATTTAGCTAGCTTAAAAAAATCATGTCCTACATAAATTCTCAGATGCTTTATTATGATTTCTCGCTTTTCACTTATCGAAGTTATTTAATTATCTTCTTAATTTTTGGATTAATTAGCATATGCTTAATATAAATAAGTGAATTGATAAGGCCGTATTGATATATCTCTTTATCTCCTCTTAAATTAGATTATTTGAACCTGAAGAACAATTTCAAGTTTTCTTTCAGTAAATTTGAAACATAATATGATAAAGTTAAAAAATAATTGAATTGAATTTTTTTTAATCAGTTAATTAAGACCATAATTTTAAAATAGCTATTTTAATATCAAAAATTTGCTGCCTTTGTTAGTTTTCAAATTATGGTCGGGATATTCTATTATAAGTTTGGTCGTTTCCTTCCATTGATTATATGCACATCCTTTTAGGAAATATAACACGTAAACATTTATATTTTTAGTATTATAATCTTATAATATTGTGTATGGTAAATGTAATTGATTTTGATATCCTAAATATTAGATTTTTTTGTGTAGTCGTTCAAATAAGGAAACTTTTAAATAAGTGAAGTTTTAGTTGACTTCAAAATGTTAAATATTAGGGAAATAATTAAATGACTATTTTGTCCGGTGTGAAATAATATATATTACTCGCACTCACACACAAATATTAATAAATTTGTATTTTAATTATTTTAAAATCATTTTTCCGACCGAAATCGGTCGGAAATATTTAATTATAACTTATCTCGGTTGGTTAATAAATATATATAATTTTTGTCTTGTGCATGAAATAATTATTTCAAACTTTCCAACTGATTTCGGTCGGGAATTTGGAAAATTTTAATAAATAATTATTTTTATACATTATATAAATATTTGATATATTTCCGACTGAAATCGGTTGGAAATTTGGAAATTTTTTAATAATTAATTGTTTTTGTATATTGTAGACAAGTATGACCAAATATTTAACCAAAAACATGTAATTTATTCATACCCTCGCAACTAAATAGTTGAAGAATGGGCATCTAACGATAACTCTTTGCAATTGGTCTTCTAAGACATGGACACTCTGCAAGTCGAGGATTTTAAGATTACAAAATGTTATGATTTTAGTTGTGCTAATATCAAATTCCAAATGTTGTCATCTCTCTAGCTGCATAAATAGTCTTAGGTAAATTATAGTACGTATCAAAATTCCAAGAGTGAAGCTCCAACACTTTGACGTTATGTTTTACCACCAAATCAATCCAACAATCTATATGAGAAGCCAATTCTTGATGATTATTTTCACATGTAAGACTGAATTGTTTAAGACGTATGTTTTGTTCAAGATGGGGCCGCAGGGATTGATCAACCAACTTGAAAAACTCGTTGGGGGACATATAGCTATCATTGGTGTAATCTAGTTCTTGACTGAGGTCAGCCGATTGAGTCTGAACCTTAATTTAAAGATGGAAGGAAGACCCGGATGGACTTAATTAGGAGCATGGGCAACCCTTCGCGCACGAGATAGCAATGACAGGAGATTGACCGGTCGGGGTCGAGTGATCCTCAGGGTTTAGGGCTCCTTCTACTGCTGCGACTACCTCTCTTCTCTTCTCTTTTAGAAAGGTAAAGGACCACCAGAGAGGCAAGTGCTTTCATGAATGCGGTAAACCAATCAATCTTTTCGTTACATATCGGGGACAGGGAACCAGCNACAGGAGATTGACCGGTCGGGGCCGAGTGATCCTCAGGGTTTAGGGCTCCTTCTACTGCTGCGACTACCTCTCTTCTCTTTTCTTTTAGAAAGGCCAGATTAGGTCGTGAAGTCAAAAGATTGTACCATCCCTTAGACAAGACACAAATTCTAGCCGCTGTCTTTTGGGGTCATTTCGGTCTGGCATAAGATCTGATGAATGATTTGTAGAGGCAACTATGATATTCTATCCTCGCCGCAAATTCTTTTTGCCTCCATAATTTACACAGAATTAATAATGCTACTTACCCTCTCTGCTATACCTCTATTAAAGAGTACAATATTTCAGATTCCTAGTGGAAATTGTTCACAAAAAAGTAGGATATCTTATGGAAATTTTTTGTGTCCGTACTACTTGTATATATCCTCTCCAGTAATTTTCTCAACTTATTACCTTCAGTCATTTAGTTTAAGAAAAAAATAATAATAAAAGGATATGTGGGGAAACTGTAATTTTTTATCACTTGGAAGAATGTTTGGGTTTAAAATAGGCCTGGTAGTTGGAACTTTAAAACCTGTGATTTTCAACTTTGATCACGTAGATGTGTATTTGATTCGTAAATGACTAAACAATAAATACTTTATAATACCTGGTTATCCTTTAAATAATTGTCATCCGAATGGCAAAAAGTGTTTGTGATGATGATAGAATATCAGAGTTGCCTGTGCAAATCATTCATCAGATGTTATACCAGACTGAAATTACCCTGAAAGAGGTGGCTCAAACATGTGTCTTGTCCAAGAGATGGTACAATTTTTGGATTTCACGGCCTAATCTGGTACTCAATCATGAACGAAAGTCTTGGGAAAATTTTGTCAAGTATGTTGATCGGTCCCTACGACCCCATGTTGAAAACAAGTTATGTCTTGAGCAATTCAGCATTAAATGTGAATATCATCACAAAAAATTGGCTTCTCATATAGATCGTTGGATTTATTTGGTGGTTAAACTTAACGTCAAAGTGTTAGATCTTCGCCCTAGGAATTTTGATACGTACTACTATAGTTTACCTAATGCTATTTATGCAGCTAGAGAGCTGAAAACATTGAAACTAAAGAGGTGCAAGTTTGAATTTGATCTTAGCACAACTAACATCATAACATTCTGTAATCTAAAAATCCTTGATTTGCGGAATGTCTATATATTAGACGACCAATTGCAGACAGTTTTCGCCAGATGCCCATTCATCAGGACTCTACAACTAATTAATTGCAAGGAAATAAACAAATTACATATTTTTGGCCTAGTACATCTGGAGAATTTGGTGGTTGTATTGGGTATATTGGACAGACTCAGAAGCTTGATAGTCCAGGCTCCAAATCTTCGATACTTTGGATGTGGAGAGATGGCACAGTTAAACAAGGGAAGTGAGGATAATCTTGTTCCTTGCAAAATTGCAAATGTGGATGCTTACAATACTATAGAAACACTCAAACTCTGGGGTGCGATCACAGAGCAACAGTTTCAAGACATGTTCTCTAAGCACTCAAACATTTCAGAATTGGATCTAGAAAGATGCTATGAGCTTAAAAATATAGAGATTGTGAGCGAAAAACTCAAGAAGTTGACCTTATCGAAGTGGAGGAATTTGGAACAAGTCAAGATTCAAGCTCCAAATTTGACAGAATTTGTTTTTGAGGGTCACAAAATGCCCTTCAACCTTTCTCACTTTGTTCAAAAGCTCAACTACTCTAATGGTTTCATATTAGAAATACTTTGTGAGAAGGTAAGAGTTTTCAATCTTTTTTTGCTCCATGAGTCTCAAAATAAAAGTTTAGTTGTTTGTATTACATCTTGAATTTGGTTAAAATTTTAGTCATTGACAATATTGCAGAGTGAAACGATCTTTCTATATGAAGATCCAAAAGAAACTGTTGTTCCTCCATTTGATAAAGTCACGATACTATTTAGACCTGTGAAGCATCTTGAATCATTCATAAATGAGTTCATGAAAATTTATTCCAAGACACAGTCAATACTTCCAATTACAAATAGCAAACTACTCCAGGTAATTTCTTGCTTATTTTGGATATCCTTTCAAACGCGTAGCTAGCTAATGTTGGATATAAGACTTTATTTTTAAATCATACAAAAAAATATGTGCAGGTAAAAGTGGAATTAGTGACCTAAAACATAAGGTACATAACTTATTATAACATGTCAGAATAGGCATTTGCTTAATGTTGATTGATTGTCCTATAATCATTAGTCTATTCTCTGTATCATATGGTTTTGTTTCAAATACACAGGTGTTGCCTACCTTAATAGGATGCCCAGATGATGCCAAAACCAAGCGCTCCTACTCGCAGCATCGATTGAAAGAAGTCAATATGTACACAATTGAGAACGAAATGGACGCCCTTCGGTATAGTTGGTTAAATTACGCGACTCTGTTTGATCAACTGACTACTTTCATGTTCAAATGGTAATAACAAGCTTGGTATGATTGTCTGAAGGGCCATAGATACATCCAACATTTAGTCTTAGTATGTTCTGAATAAATATGGTCTATTATAAATATTCATGATAAATTCAGTTGAACTTATTAAACTCAGTCTAGAATAATCTGCCTATGTGGTTCTGGCTAAGATCTCCCCCTTTGTTTTAATTATTTCCTTTCATGTTCCCTCTCCTCCTTCAGTTTCTCTCATACATTAATTATCGTGTTCAAATTATTGTATATTGCAAAGTGACTGAATTAAAAATAATATCTTGCTAGAATGTTTTATGATTGTCATCAAATCAAGATCTGTGTAGCTAGCTTTCTGTGTGAGAACATCTTCTGAAAAAATTGAGCAGCAGCATTTGAGATATCATCTCTTTTGTCCAAGCCAGACTCCCTGCTCATTTTTTAAGAATTTCTCAATGTTGAGTTTCCTTCTTTTGGAGCGGAGCATTAGAACAACGGTAAAGTTGTCTCTGTGTGACCTATATAGGTCAGGGGTCAAGCCAGGGAAACAGCCACTAATGCTTAACATTACGGTAGACAGTCTACATCACTCTCCTTTGGATGCGGTACTGCGTGAATGTATGATGCTCTGTGCACCAGGCTGCCCTTTCTTTTTTTTGTTGAGTTTCTCTCTTTTATCTTTAATAACACTATGAAAAAATGCAGTGTTTGCGTCCACGTCATCTAAGTCTAGCATTTTTGCTACAGTGTAGCTTCATGTTTTTTTTTAGACTTGAAGAAATTCAGCATTTTATCTATATTCAATCTTGTCCTGTTGTTTGAACTTTTCTCTCCATTTTATCCACATAATTAAAAGTTTCCTGGACCAAGAGCTTAACTTTTTGCTAGAAAGTCCACATGGGAATTCCATTAATGTTCTTCTTCCATATACTTGAATAGGGGTGTCAAATCGGCGGGTTGGGCCGATTTTGGGCTGGTCAAAATGGATTGAGTCAATAATGGGCGGGTCAATAGGTGCTGCAAATTGCAATGAGGTAAAAAGGCAGTACAATCTTCCTTTGTTATGATCATCAGCCAAGAAACTGTTCAAATAACGCGACCCTGCCAATTCAACAAAGAAAAAAGATGCTGCAATGCCCCTCAAGTTTTCTCAGCATTATATGAATAAAAGTTAAGAAATTGCAGTTTATTTGCAAAGATTCTTTGGAGACTGAATGTAGATTTTTAGTGTTTTTCTTCTATTTAAAACCTAAAAATTGGTAAGTAGCGTTTCCCTAAATTGCTCAATACATGTTATTACACATAATAATGCAACAGAAAAATCAAATTTGACAGGATGAGACATATAAAGAGTATATGTCTTTCCAAAATTTTCAAAATTTTCAAGTACGGATAGGAAAAACTTTCCATATGATATCGTAGTTTCCCTGTTTCAAGAACGTATGCTAGCATCAGTGGCGATGCCAGAAACTTTTTCAAGGGTGTTCAAATGAAAAAAATTCCGACAAAGAGTATTCAATATATGTTATATACCTATAAAACCTAATATTTTACTTATATACTCAGTATAATTTTCCGACGAAGGGTGATCAGTTGACCACCCTTTCAAGCATGTGGCTTCGCCCCTGACTAGCATAATCAAAGATGGAGGCAAAAAGAGTTGGTTGCAAGGATAGAATATCAGAGTTGCATGTGCATATCATTCATCACATCTTATGCCAGACTGAAATTACCCCGAAAGAGGCGGCTCAAACTTGTGTCTTGTCTAAGAGATGGTACAATTTTTGGACTTCACGACCTAAACTGGTACTCAGTCAAGAAGGCTGCAAAACCTATACCTATAAGTCCCCTGGAGATTTTGTAAAGTTGGTTGACCAATCCTTAAAACCACATGTTTAACAAAACTTATGTAATCTTAAAAATCTTCTTTCATTGGGAATATAATACTAGTTGATTGCGAGGGTATAAACAAGTTGCATGTTTTTGGCCTAGTACATCTGCAAAATTTGGTTGTATCAAGGTGCGAACTCGAAAGTGTGATAGTTCAGGCTCCAAAGCTTCGACTATTTGGATTGAGCAAATACATCGATGACAGTCTTGTTCCTCGCAATATTGCAATTTTAGATGCTTACAATACTTTAGAAATACTCGAACTGAATTGTACCAGCATCACAGATCAACAGTTTCAAGACATATTCTCTAAGCACTCAAATATTTCAGAATTGGATCTAACAAGTTGCTATGAGCTGAAAAATATAGAGATTGTGAATGAAAAACTTAAGAAGTTGACCTTATCAAAGTTGAGGAATCTAGAACAAGTCAAGATTCAAGCTCCAAATTTGACGGAATTTGTTTTTGAGGGTGACAAAATGCCCTTCAACGTCTTCACTTTGTTCAAAAGTTCGACTATTCTAAAGGTCTTATATTAGCAATATTTTGCAAGAAGGTAAGAGTTTTCAATCCTTTTTCAGTTCTTTGTATTACTTGAATAATTGATGCATTACTTCTTGAATTTGAATTAAGTTATGTCATTGACAATATTGCAGAGTAAAGCCATCTTTATATATGAAGATCCAAAAGAAATTGTCATTCCGCAAAGTGAAGATGAAGTCAGGATACTCATTAGACCTATATTGCATCTTGAATCATTCATAGATGATTTAATGGACATGTATCCCAAGACCATGTCAATACTGCATAGCAAAGTACTCCAGGTAATTTCTTGCTTTATTTGGATATCCTTTCAAACGTAGCTAGTTTGCGGAAGCTAGTAAAGCAAACATTGAACAACGATAAATTAGACAATAAAAGAGAAATATATCAAATGAGACACAAACATTTAACATGGTTCAGTTAATTGACTTACGTCTACGGATGAAGATAAGCAATCTGCTATATAAAAGAGAGTAGAAAATATTGAGAGAACAACCTCGCAAAGAGTCAAACACAAGTTGTAGGCTAACACTCGTACCGAAAATCCCATATGGCTACATTGTGGACATTGGCGGAGCCACATTGAAACAAGGGGTGTCAAGCGACACCCCTTCGCCGGAAAATTACACCACTTTGCTAGATAATTTTTTTATTTTACGTATATTTACTATACGTTGACTCCCCTTGATTTTTCATATCTAATTATTTATATTTTGACACCCCGTGATAAAAATTCTTGATCCGCCACTAATTGTGGATGCTACTGAATGAGAAGGAAGGATCCTCAATTTATAGAAGTCCAGACCTTTTCTTCCAAGAAAAGTGACTAGCCAAATATGAAAGATTTGTAATTTCCTTACAAGAAAAAGGAAAACTCAATTATGGTAAATATGTTGTTCATTCCTTCAAGAGATAAGAAAACTAAATATGATAAGAAAATCAAAACAAACAGCTAAGCTAGCAGTAAATTTCCAGATATACTCCATAAGAATTTAACTTTTGTATATTGATAGCGTAAAATAAATTTATACAATCAGATCATTAAAAAATATATCGTTCATTAAGTGCATTTGTGGCCTAAAAAAAATTAGGTAACACATTACAACAAGTAGAAATACGTTGTCAGTGAAATGTGTTAAGTTAAATCTAAGACGTAAACATGCAATAACCATTTGCCCTATAATCATTAGTCCATTCTTCATTTGAAGTACAGGTGCTGTCTACATTAATAGGATGCTCAGATAATACCAAAACCAAGTGTTTCTACTCGTGGCAACGTCAATTAAAAGAAGTCAGTACGTACACAATTGAGAAGGAAATGAAAAGCGTTTGCTATTGGTGGTTAAAGTCCCCGTCTCTGTTTGATCAAGCAACTACTTTCATGTTCAAATGGGAGGACAAGTCCATCATTCACTCTAAGCTGCGGAGGTCGAGTATTAAGGTTATATGTTAGGAGGTAGCTGAATCTATTTCTACTTCATACCTATGTGAGGCTAGTCTGACAGGATTTTTGTCTTAGACTACTAGTGGTTAATGTTATGTCTCTCTACTCCTTCATTTTCATAGTGCCGGGTCTTTTTACTGGCTATCACTTTTGCATTTCATATATTTTCTGGTCTTTATGATGCTGTTAATATTCATATGGTCTCTGTTGGTGGTACTGATATTGTCTTTTTTCGTCTTCTTGAGCCGAGGGTCTTTCGGAAACAGACTCTCTACCCCCTCTGTTGGTGTTAATTTATTAGAATTTCAAGAATTGTGAGTCGCGGCCATGTGGAAATCGAATACACAAGTAGGGGTGGTAAAACTAACCCAAATCCATTTGACCCACCCAACCCACCCAAGTTATAATGGGCTTGGGCTAGAAGGATTTTGAAAATGGGTTGTTTTGGGCGCGCATTTGCCGTAAAAATAGGACGGTATAGCCAGTTTTCGGACTGGTCATTCAAAAATAACCAGCGTTTACGAAGTCAATGAAAAATAGCCACTATTTTGCTGCAACAGAGACCGGTCTAGCATAATATACTAGAGTTCGGTGAGTTCGGTGCACCTGTGTATGAACTCCAGCATATTATGCTGGACCGGTATACTTTGCTGACCTAGTATAATATACCGGAGGCTGGAGCAACGGTGCTCTAAACTCCAGTATATTATACTGGACAATTATACTTGCTGGAACTCCATCATATTATGCTGGAGT